GAATTGAACTAACACTGGGACATTCTGAAGGGAGATGCAAATTCCATTAGCTACAGATAAATTGTATTTACTTCCTTCAATGCTACTCTGGATTTTTGTTTTTGTTTTTCTGCTGTCATACCCCCAGACTTAAGTACTGTATGTCTTTGGAGATCATTGCTTACCATTACTCAGCAGGTGTGAGTAAAGGACTAGGTAAACTGGAATTAGGAGTTAGAAAGCCAGAAGCCTAGTGCTGGCTCCATCACTCGGACGACTCACAGTGGAGCAGCGAGGCTCAAGGGAGGCCTATTCTGCCTTTATTTCTGCCCATCTATAACCTACCTGCGCTTCAAAGTGTTTCTGAGATGTGTTCTTTGCAACACTTTCCCAGATGCCACAAATATGTGTGGTTTCTCTCTCTTCTAAACTTTCACATTGGTTCATGCTTTTGTTGCTCAGGTTAGCCATATAGTAGATGTTGATAACAATGTGGCCTTCCAAACACAGTGTCAATACTTGTCACTCGGCAAATGTGTCGCTAATGCACTTTCCTAATGAGGAGACAGAAGTCAAGAGCCTTCTGTGAAAGTAGCAGAACTCTGAGTGAAGCATCAGAGCGCTACTGTCGGAAGACACATGCACATGCTTTGCGTCCTTCCTTGAGGTCCACTCCTGGCAAGCAGCCCACAGGTGTGCAGCACTTTCCCTGCAGCCTCAGTCTCCAACTTGGCCCGCTCCTCCTGGAGGGTCAGTGCTCTCTCTCTCACTTCTGCCTTGCACCAGCGGGCTGGCAGTGGGCAGTGCTGGGACAGCAGGGGCTTTGGTCCAGAGGGAGCACAGGGAGCATGGGAAGCCACTTGGGGCGAGGTTGCCTTCCACCTTGAAAGGACTCAAGGCGGGGGTGGGGGGGCTGTCTTTTGAAAGTACCAGGAAGATGCTTAGGTACTTCCTTTAATGTGAAAAAAAACCTGTTGAATTTGCTCTCTCTCCCTTTTTTTTTTCTTTTTTTTTTTTTGGTACCAGGGATCGAACTCGGGTCCTTGCGCTTCTGCAGCAGGCGGTGAGACCACTGAGCTAAATCCCCCGCCCTAACCTGTTGAATTTGTAAAAATTAACAAAGCTTTTCAGGGAACAAAATTGTTTCTCTGTTAAAACTAAACGTAAGTAAACGTTTTTGAAGATTGTAAACTTATTTTTTAAGGAATTTAGAAGAAAAGAAGCATTGAAAAAAAGGCACATTCTAGAAGCTATACTTACTGTTTTTTGTTTTGTTTTGTTTTGAGTACCGGGGATTGAGCTCAGGACCTTGCACTTTCGAGCCAGGCGTTGATGCCACTGAGCTAAATCCCCGGCTGGTCAGATTTTTACACTACCAGATCTTGTTGCTTCTCAATTTATACATCCCCCCAACATACACACCACTATTTTGGGGGAGAATTTGTATACATTAGTTACAGGGAGACACTAAGCCATGACCCATTTTATTTTGGAATTTATATTATGATATAGTAGAAAATGATTTATAAGAATAGATGAACTTGTATTGTTCTGTTACCACTAGAGAGATGAGTTTAAACATCTGTAATGAAATGAGCAGCTCCAGGTGTCAGTGAAGGTTATTTTTTATGTGCTTCTCACTACCCTCAAGTATTAGAGCTGAGAGTATCCACTTAGAGTCCTGTAAAAAACTAAATGAAGTTGACCTCTAGTAAGTTAGGATTGATGCACTGACTCTTAGATAATGGAAAATGGAAGGTGGTAATATCTATAATATAGTTTGGGTTTTGTAAAATTATTGTCTTATTAGGAGATATTTAAATTTTCTGGAAAGAGAAAAAGTAAGATTATTACCAAAATGCAAACAATACAAAAGGTGCCCAGATCAGTCAAGAAAGTAAAATGTGGGAAAAAAAAAGAGAAAGTAAAATTTGGGCAGGGTGGGTGCCCGGGGTCGCTCCACAGTGAGCCCTCAGACCAGACGCTGTGCTGTGGCGGCTTCTGAGGATTCCGTGGGTTTTCCTGGGACGAGCAGTGTGGAGACGTCATTTGCAGGTTCCTGAGGGAATGTATCTATGTACTCATCAGTTAGATAGAACCGCATTCCTTCATAAGAAGTTTTTAAAAGAAAGGATAATCTTATTTAGTTTTATCAACTGTTTATTAAAGGATTCCTTTGTGAATTCAGCTTTTTGTATTTCTGATTTTTAACCTTTCATGTGATTCTACTGAGAGACATTATCCTATATGTTAGGAATTCCTGCACACACGCATACACACACACAGACACACACAGGCACACATGGGACTCCATTGGCTGGGTTGTGTGGTAGTATCACCACTCCCTGGTCTCAGCAGCTTGAGCAAGGCAGGATTTCTTTCTCACATTATATCACTGGCGGGGAACTCTGCTTTTATCATTGCTCGGTGATCCAGGTTGATGGGACAAGCATATTGCTGTACATTAGCAATTAAACAGAGCAGCTCAGAAGTGCTTGCTTAGCTTCAGGCATGCTGGCCAGAACTTGTCATGTAGCCCTCGTGATTTCTGGGAGCTGGGAAGCACAGTGCTACCTGTGCCAGGGCCAGAGAGCTGGGAGTACTTGCTAGACAGCGCGTCTGTCACTGTCCGATTTTTGGTTTCAGGCGTCTGGTGTGTTCTCCCTTAAAGGCAAAACACACTCACTTCCACCCCAACGTAAAGCACTCACAGGCCCAGCAATCACAGCATGAAGCTCAGAGCCCAGGACCCCAGGTTATGCAGGAGGGCAGTGCACAGTGGACTCCTTGTGAGAAGATAGTTCTTTTCCTACTCCAGAGACTTGGGGAGAAGCTGACAAATGACCCACTGCTCCCAGCATAATAAACAATACAACAGTGAGTAGGGACAACCTAATAACAAACACTGATTTGAAAGGGGCAGGAAGAGGAGACAGCGGTCTGCAACAAATTCTGAAACCCAGCCGTGACAGGGCCCTGCCAAGGCGGGCTGTTCACTCGGCTGTTCTCTGATCCCTGACCTCATCCCCCTGGGCTTCTTCCTCTTCCTCCTAAAACAAAGGCGTGTTTTTGCACAGTGGCATGTGTGCCTCTCCAAAAGCCTCCCGTTCTGCAAAATTGGGCCATAATTTCCTCCTTTATACCTACAAACAGTACAGACATACCTACTTAGATGTCAAGGAAAACATGGTGGCGTTTATCACCATTCCTTCCTGAAATTCCACTAAAGTGAAAGTAGAATAATTTTAAACAAGAAATAAATCCACAAGGTCAAAGAAAATAGAAAAGAAGACAGGAGCAGAGAAATGAGAAATATTTAGGAACTATGCATAGTCATTAAAACACAAGTAGTAAATACTGGTTTTTAAAAGGTTTGATACAACTGTTAGGATCAGGGAGAGCTAAGAACAACATGTAAGGCAACTATCTGTGAACGAGAGGTGATACCTGAAATTGGAGGAAAAAAAAAGTCAAGAAATAGAAATACATTCATATAGAGAAAGAGAAGTGAATACCAAGGAGGAAACAGCTAAAATAGCATTATTATCCCTGGAGAATGGGACTCAATTGAGTAGGGCCAATGTATCTGACTTGTAAAACTCTGGGTGCTTTTTTAATGATTAATTTTAAAAAGTTGAAAAATCAACCCCAAAGCTTTATAGTGAGTATTAAATAGAAATAATGAATAATAGAAGCTTTTACAGCTCCTTGCACATAGCAGGCATTTGGTAAAGACCAGTTTCCTTCCTCTTGCCAGCGAGGTAGGCTTTGTGCTTGCAGTAGTGTTTGTGTGAGTCAGCGGTTAGGTGGTTGGCTAAACAGCAATGCGGGCCATGTCACAGAGCAAATTATGTGCCCTTCTAATCTTTTTTTTTTTTAATGGATGGTTTTATTTTTCTTGGAACCATATCAGTGTGATGGTTACTGTTTCTCAGAATTTAGCCACCTATGCAACTAACACATGGAAAATCATCCAGTTATTGAGTGGGTCCAGTGAGATATGCACACAACAAATGTGAAAATACTTGACAACTTGGGGTTACTTTAGTAAGCTTGAAAACGGTCCTATCCTGTCCCCTGCTTACAGATTGGCTAAGGCCAGGGGCATCTGCATCCTCTTCTGTAGTTATACCAATTCGCTGCTTTATTTCCACAGGCACAGAGCCTGTCTGGCCACCACCTGCATCCTGTGGGCTCTTGCTGTGGTGGCGTGGTCACTGCTGAAAGCATGGCCGCTCACATGAAGCTCTGGAGTGTCTCCGGACACATCGTGAACTAGACTGTGAACACCTTGTGGATGGAGGCCTTAGATCTGGCTACCTCAGTGTAGCAGGGAGGTTGATGAGTGCCATACAGTGCCAGATGTTTCTTTCCTCATCAGAAATGTAGTGTGTCTGGGCCAGGGATTTAGCTCAGTGGTTCTGCACCTTGCCTCGCAAGCACAAGGACCCAAGTTCGATCCCTGGTACCAAAAAAAAAAAAAAAAAAAGAAATGTAGTGTGTACTGGGCTCTGTGTCATGCCTGAGGATATCTTGTGGCACTTGCTGTCATAGAATTTCCATCTTAACAGAAAATGTTTGTGAATTTATATAAGCTAGGAAAGTAATGCTCCAGCCAAACCATTGAAGCAGTGTAATGCATTGTGTATGCAAAGGGTTTAATAACCTTCAGCTATGTTTGTGGTGACCAAGTGCTCCCGTGACAGATGCATGGCATAAGAAGGAAATGGTGGTGCCTGACGTTTTCCTCTTCCTTTCTCTTTGTAGATAAGGTGCTCCGAGTCCCTTGCAGCTCTCCTCTGAGGAAAGTCCCCAGTGCTCTGCTCTTGCCGTAATACCAGACCTTTCTGACTTACACAGTGGTGCTGTGACACTGGAAGAATTGCACAGAGGTTCCAGCCACATCTTTTTGTCACTTGAGCAATTCTCTGTGGATGGGAAAAGATTTGAGTCTTGATAATTACCTTGTTTGAAATCTAATTCTCTAGTCTGAACTGTTTAATAGATTGTGCCACTTACCAATGAGCCACCCAGCCAGTTCTTGTCAGGAGCTGGTTGAAAACTGTCCTGTGCATGTAGCAGGGATGGCACAAGAAGAGAGCCGTCGCGGACAAGTGCCATCCACCTTTTACCATGGTGCCAACCAGGAACTTGACCTGTCCACCAAAGTGTACAAAAGGGAATCTGGAAGTCCCTATTCTGTGCTAGTGGACGCCAAGATGAGCAAGCCACATCTCCATGAGACAGAGGAACAGCCATATTTCAGGGAGGCAAGAGCAGTGTCTGACGTGCACGCTGTCAAGGAAGATCGGGAGAATTCTGATGACACGGAGGAGGAGGAAGAGGAAGAGGTCTCTTACAAAAGGGAGCAGATCATAGTGGAGGTAAACCTTAATAATCAAACATTAAATGTATCTAAAGGGGAAAAGGGTGTCTCTTCTCAGTCCAAAGAGACTCCTGTTCTTAAGACGAGCAGTGAGGAGGAAGAGGAAGAGAGTGAGGAAGAGGCCACAGATGACAGCAATGATTACGGAGAGAATGAAAGGCAGAAGAAGAAGGAGAAGATAGTGGAGAAAGTCAGCGTTACCCAAAGGCGAACGCGGAGAGCTGCCTCTGTTGCCGCAGCTGCCACTTCCCCTTCTCCCAGAACTACGAGAGGGCGTAGGAAGAGTGTAGAGCCACCTAAGCGTAAGAAGCGGGCCACCAGAGAGCCCAAGGCGCCAGTCCAGAAAGCTAAGTGTGAAGAGAAAGAGACTCTGACCTGTGAGAAGTGCCCCAGGGTGTTTAATACTCGCTGGTACCTGGAGAAGCACATGAACGTTACTCACAGGCGCATGCAGATCTGTGATAAGTGTGGCAAGAAGTTTGTCCTGGAAAGTGAGCTGTCCCTTCACCAGCAAACAGACTGTGAAAAAAACATTCAGGTAGGTCTCATCAACAAGAGGGCAAACTTGCCAGGATAGAACCTGGCTGTTGAGATTCATCTGGTTCTGCCCAAGAGAATAAGCACACTACAGGCTGAAGGGACAGAGTTCACCAATTTGTCATTTTAGAAGCTTCTGCCTGGGTCTTTCCAAAACCGAGGCTTGCCCTGGTATTTCCAGAGCATTCCATGTACAGTGATTGACGCTGGACTAGAGGGAGCCCAGGCACACTGGAAGGGGGAGCTGGTAGAGCTGATTGACCAGGACGCAAAGTCGGCAGCGACTTTGCACTGAGATGTGCTGCTATAGGACGCTTGATAGAATTCATTGTGGCATCTTCTGGCGAGGTGGGAGACCCCAAGTGAAAGGCAGGAGTAGAGAAAGGCTCTTTTCTGTTTAAAAGGGATGCCAGAGTCTAGTGCAGCTGATGGGGACAAAGCCCTAAGGACTCAGACCGGTGGACATGGAAGACCTCCAGGAGGGAGTGTGCTTTACCCGTGGAGCGATGACTGCACTAAATTTGTCAAGAGGCTGAGCCAAGGGAATATGCACACGTTAACAGAGGCCGAGCTGAGTGAATGTTGCCCACCTGGCAGTAGGGCTAACCTGTGCCCCGTGAGTGTGGTCAAGGCGCCCAGCCGAGCTGGTGTGCTGAGGCCTGCACGGATAGGGTGAGAGGTGAGCTGTGAGGACTGCAGCTCAGGTGGTTGCATGTGTGTTTGCCTGTTAGTGCTGTTCACAAAAGGTAAGTCTGCCCTCGTCTCTGTAAGATACGTGCAGTAGAAATGTTTTGTACCAAGTTTAATCTTCTTTTAAAAGACAAATTGTCTTGCTTTTGTTTTTTGGAATGTTGCTAATCTTGGTAGTTACTTTTAATTTTTGCTTATCTCTGTTGCTTTTAATCAACTGTTTGAAATCATTGCCTTGCTTTGAAGAGATTTTTTTTTTTTTAATATAAATGACCTTTGTTAAAAATCCACTGCTTTTGATTTATCGACTGTGACTGGAGCTCACCGAGCTGGGTAAGCAGGCTGAGTCACAGTACCTTACAGTGCTGTCACAGTACCTGGGCAGCTGCCCACACCCTCCCTGGCCCTGGCTGCGGAGACTCAGGCCAGCCGGGTGGCGCTGTGCTGCACCCTAGGGGCCACACCTGGGTTCTGCGTGATTCAGTTCTGAAAAGGGGCTCCTGTCTTTGTCTACATACAGGGTGTGTTGTTGTTGTTGTTGTTGTTTTTACCTTAAATTTGCATGAAGTTGTAGAAACAAATCCCCCTTTTTGACCAACTCACCATTCCTCCACGTTTCAACTCGTGTTAGTGTTTTGGGGATTCTGCTAAGTGAATGCCTGTCACATTCCTAAAGAACGTTGGGCTTTGTTCTGATGCCCTGCTAACAAGCAGAAAGTACGGCCCGGCCCGCAGCATGGCCCGCAGGCACAGTGGGTCCTCCTGGAGCCAGTCCCGCGCCTCGAGCCTCGAAGGTGGGGAGGTGCAGTGACAGCAAGGTCTGGAGATCTTGGTTCACAGAGCACACTGACTGCTTCCCGCACATCTCCGTCTCCGGCACCAAGAGCTTCTCGGTGTTGTTTTGCTTTAACCAGAAACGTTTTATTTTGACGCACTTCCTGCCTAATTTTCCAGGTGATTAATGATTCGTAGCATAAGGGACTGGCAGTGGGACCTGTAGTTCTGTGGATGCCTGTAAGGAAGATGGGGCCAGGCTGCAGGGTGAAAGGGGAGTGGAGCTAACAGTTGAGAGTTTGTGTCCTCTTCTGCCAGAGGGGGGAGTTTACATGAATGAGTAAATGAAATTTGAGAGCACATAGTGAAATCTCAATCACGTGTGTTAATGAAGGCTCCAAATGTGTTTTCTAAGGTGTCAAAACATTTTTAAACTCCTGCAGATATGTGACCGCACCTGTATGTTCTGCCTTGCTTTTGTTTATGTCATGTAAAGCCAGCTTGTGTACTCTGGTAAACACCTATTAATTGCATGGTGACCCATGTGTGTAGGAGATGCTGCACTTGATAATCCACATGTTAAATGAACTTGAAGGGTTTTTTCCCTAGGAACAATACTAATGTGATATTAGCAGTCAATTCTTTGATATTAGTGGAACTTTCCACCACTGCTTGGCTTAGTTTTTGCCACTGTTTTCATACTCGCAAAGGGTCTCTAAAAGATGCATCTTGGAAAATAGAACATACACATATTGGTGTTGGAATCTGGACTCCGAGGAGGAATAGCGTTTGTCTGGATCCCGGCCCTGTGCCTTGAACCTAAAGTTCTTCCATTTCATCTGCCAGGCCAGGTGGCTTTCTCTAAGCCCCAGTAAATAAGTTTATTTCTATTTATCCTGCTCAGTGTGTTTCCTGTAACAAATCATTCAAGAAACTCTGGTCCCTTCATGAACATATCAAGATCGTACATGGATATGCAGAAAAGAAATTTGCCTGTGAAATTTGTGAGAAGAAATTCTATACCATGGCTCACGTGCGGAAACACATGGTTGGTAAGTTTTTCCTCCTTGCTTTCCTTCACACCTATAATTTGCCCATTCTTCAGGGCACCTTATGTGCGGGACAGGGCAGGACGTGGGGCACTGCCATACTTTAATCAGTTTGAATGTGTGGAGACCAAATGCACTATGTTCTCAGTGTGCACTGGATGCTGTGGTCTCCCCACCCAGATTTCTTTCCAACATTATTATTTATTTTCCTCTTCAGAACATGACTTTTAAAGTATAACTAAAAAAATAAAAAAAATAAAAAAATTTTTAAAGTATAACTGCCTTACAGCCTGACATCTGTCTTTTCCAGTTTGAGCTTTCTGGTGGAACTGTTTTGAGCATAAGTGCATTCTGTGTTGCAGCACACACGAAAGACATGCCATTCACGTGTGAAACCTGCGGGAAGTCATTCAAACGCAGCATGTCGCTGAAGGTGCACTCCCTGCAGCACTCTGGAGAGAAGCCCTTCAGATGTGAGGTAAGGGACGCATCCCGTGCAGGCCAGGCTGGGCTGCAGCTTTGCCCACCACAGGCCACCAGCTTCTGATGTGACAGGCACTCAGCATGGCATGTGCCTTGACTAGGAAGAGAAATGTCCTGTCTGCCTCACGGCCAGCTTTCTTAGGGTGACGGGAACAACACTGAAATGACCGACTTTTCCTTTGGCGGTGATTCAGAGAAGTTGTATGTGCTCCAGCGATAGTTATGGGAGGAAATGTGCCTTTACTCATAACTCAGTGGCAGACACAGAGCAGAGGAGATAGCTGAGTGTGACAGACTCACGGCAGAGATTGTGCAGGGCGGGTGCAGGTGAGGCTTCCGGGCTTGGCACCCAGCCCTCACCACTGTATCCCCTGCAGAACTGTGATGAGCGGTTCCAGTACAAGTACCAGCTGCGCTCCCACATGAGCATCCACATCGGGCACAAGCAGTTCATGTGCCAGTGGTGCGGCAAGGACTTCAACATGAAGCAGTACTTTGACGAGCACATGAAGACGCACACTGGTGAGGGGATCTTCTGGCTCTGTTTCTTGGAAATTTCAACCCCAAATCGGTATCTCACTGCAAATTCCACTTTAAATCAACCTACATAAGAAAAGAGATTTCTATTCCTGAAAATTTTGGCTTTCATAGCTCCATTTTTAAAAGGGTTATTTGTGAATGCCTTCTAACTGTGGTGTCTTTAAGATAATGGGTTCTAGGGCTGGGGATTTAGCTCAGTGGTTTCACCACCTGCTGCGCAAGCAGAAGGACCTGAGTTCAATCCTTGGTACCCCAAAAAAAAAGATAACGGGTTCTTTCTTGGGCCCAGGAACTCCAGAAATCTTGTTTCATGTATATACATTCACCATTTTTCTAAGGGTTCCGGGCCTTATAAAGATGGAGGACACTGCTTTAAATATAAGACTTTTTTTTTTTTTTTTTTTTGGTACCGGGGATCAAACTCGGATCCTTGCGCTTGCGAGGCAGGCAGCAGAACCACTGAGCTAAATCCCTGGTCCAAATAGAAGACTCTTAATCCTTTTTTTTTTTTTTTTTTTGCTGGGTATAGTGGCACATTCCTGTAATCCCAGCCCTCAGGAGGCTGAGGCAGGAGATCACCACTAGTTTGAGGCCAGCCTGGGCTACACAGTGAGTTTAAGGCCAGCCTGGACTATACAGGGAGACCTATCTCAAAATAATAAAATAAAATATTGCTTTGATTGGATTTAATTTATCAAAAATACACAGCTTTCAGGCACAATACATTGAGGGAGGTTACATAAATGTTAACCAGGCTCTGTGGCATGGGCCCGAGTCCTGTAACCGCATGATTACCTAGGTTCCAGAGGGCCAGCTAAACGGACAGCTGCCCTGAAACACTGTCACTGTTCCACGGTCTGCACTTGATGCTCCGGGATTCGCCATCCTTGCACAAAGTGAACAGCATGAAGCATTTGGGGTCTCTACATCAAACCTAATCATAGGGTTCCAGGTGTACAGCATAGCAGAGCTGGAGGAGGCCCAGGGTCACCTCGCTTGCCCTGCTGTCCCTGCTTCACTAGTGGTAAGCGGATTCCACCTGTGACTGGGTCTCTTTAGTTTGCATTGCTCTGTTGAAGTCCAGAGAGAAATGCCTGCCTGGCAGCTTTCTGTCTCGTCAGAGCCAGCTGAAAAGCCACAGGGTTAGTTAGCTGCGGCAGACCTCAGAAGGGAGTTATAACTGAAGCCCGACTCAGAGGGGTGAGTGCAGGACCTAGCGGGGTGCCTGACCGGGCGCCCGTCCTAATCCAGGGCCCTTGGAGAGCTTCTTAGTTCTAACTAAGTCTCCTGGAGGACTCAAGATTTTTGTTGTTCTTACTTGGCAGGAAACTGGAACTAGGTAGGATATAAGTAGTTTTGTTTTTTTTTAAAGCAGAAGTCATGTCACACACAGTGCTCAGCACACAGGCGCTTAATCTCTGCTGTAGGTTTGCGTGGAGCCGCCAGCACTTCCGTCTCCCTCCACATTCGCATCTCCTTGCTGATCTTCCTGGGCTTCTTCTTCCTCCTTCCTCCCTGCCTCCCTCCTTCTCCTGCATTTCTCTCTTACCCTTTGTCTTTCTCTTTTTTTTCTTTAGGACCTTTAGTTATCCATAATATGAAACCAAAGTACATATTTTTTAATTTTAGTTACTGAATTAAACTTTATGTTAAATAATTTTTGATTAACTAAGTGAGCTGGACATTTCCTTTTTCTTCTAATGGAATATGATTCACTTGCACCTTTATTTTTCTCATTAAAAGAGTAAAACAGCTGGGCATGGTGCCACACACCTGTCATCCCAGCACCCAGGAGGCTGAGGCAGGAGGATTGCCATTACTTTGAGGCCAGCCAGGGCTACATAACAAGTTCAAGGCCAGCCTGAACTACATGGTGATACCCTGTCTCAAAAAAACTAAAAAAAAAAAGAAAACAAAAAATGATAGTAGTATCTGAGATGGTCCAGGAGAAAGACTGACTTAGAGAGCAAAGCAAGGCTTCACACTTAGAGATGATGGTATATTTGGGGGGATGAAGGCCCTGTGGGAATTCACCTTGCTTGTGAAAATGTCTTTGCAGTTAAAAGTGAGGCACAACTTGTCTAGGAAACCCGGCCAGCCCTCAGGTTTCCTAGGATGGGGTGAGTTTATGGTAGGGTGCTTGCCACATTTCCTTGCATCCTGCACGGTGCCAGGTGCCTAGGGACACAAGGCAGAAGCCTGGTTTCCGCCTCACGGAGCTAAGGCCTGATGCCTGGTCATGGAGATGATGATAACAGCAGCACTGAAAATGAATCGAGTGTGGCTTACTAGGTAGGTAACTACCTTTATTTTCAGTGGAGGAAACCAAGGCTCAAAGATTGAATGACCTGTCCAGGGCAGCCTGACTCCTGCAGCAGACCACAGGCAGTGTTTCTCACACCACGTCCAAACAGCGAGTTGTGAGGTGGAGGGCTGCTGAGGACACCGTAAGCGTCAGACGTACCACTCTAAGGCCAGGTTCTCCACGTCAGAACCTGCCAGTGTGCTCAGGCAGACCAGGGTCTGAGGCCACTGATGATGTATACAGACAATTGCCACTTGATTAGTTTATGAATGACAAGTGCTTTGGATCCTGAGTGCTCCTTGGTCAGCATATCCTTTGCCTAAGGAAAAATCTGTATTAGAAATGAAGTTATAAGGAGAGGACTGTCGGGGAGAATGAGAGCAGAGGGTGAGAAATGAATGAAATAAAAAATCCATCAGTCATGAGACAAGCTGCACTTATACTGCTAAGAAAATGTTTTCAGGGCCAGGGATCTAGCTCAGTGGTACTGCCGCCTGCCTTGCAAGCATAAGGTCCCAAGTTCAATCCCTGGTACAAAAAAAAAAAAAAAAAGCCATCCATGAATATTTGCTGGAGTGCCTGGGCAAAATTTTGGGGCCGGGGATTTGGCTCAGTTGTTTCGTTGCCTGCTGCGCAAGCGCAAGGACCCGAGTTCAATCCCCAGTACCAAAAAAAAAAAAGAAAGAAAATGTTTTCAGCCCAACGAGGACATGGCATTGATTAGAAGGTGTGTGCCAGTTTCAGAAGTGTTAAAATGTCGGGGGAGATGCATGTCTTAGAATTAACAAATATTTATTCGTAGGTATTTAGTAAAAGCCTAGTAAACAAGGCTGCTGTGGTGTGCAACAGTGAGCTAGGTCTGTATGCACAGACTTTTCTCGTCAGGATTATAAATGAGAGATGATGAGCGATCAGGACTGCTTGTGAGCACAATTAAATGCATGTCACTCACTTCCTGTTCAGGGAGTGCATTGTTCCTGCTGAATGGTCAGGGAATCCAGTGGGGAGGGAGTATTTGCAAGCCTGATGCTATTGAGAGTGAAGAATACAAACTTTGGAGCGTCAAGGAGCAGGGGCCATGGATCTATTAATCAGTTATCACAGAGGGCTGCTTTTAACACACTATTGTACAAGTCATGTTATTACAGATTAGCATTAAAAATAAAGTAAAAATTGAGCTGGGTGTGGTGGCACATGCCTATAAGCCAAGCCCTCGGGAGGCTGAGGCAGGAGGATCACCATGAGTTCCAGGCCAGCCTGGGCCACATAATGAGCTGTCTCAAAAAAGCATACAAACAAACAAAAAAAAGCAAACAAAAAAATAAATATGAAGTAAAAATCACCCATAATCCTCATTACCTAAAAATAATCCTTGGTATTGTTTGTTGTATTCTGTTTGTATCTTTCCTATGCATATTTTAAAGGTGGATAAATTTTATAGCTTGTTTTATTTACTAGAGTATAGACAATCCTTATAGATTATAGATTTTTGTGTTAATACATTTCTGTACTCTACAATGTTTTCAGTGACATTTTCCATTAGATGTGTGTGTTGGTTTTTTTTTTTTTGGTACCAGGGATCGAACTTGGGACCTTGCGCTTGCGAGGCAGGCACCGGAACCACTGAGCTAAATCCCCGGCCCTTCCATTAGATGTATATACCACAATTGATTTGATTTGTTTTTTGGTGTTTTTTGTTTTGTTTTGTTTTGTTTTTTGGTTTTGTTCTGTTTTTTAACACAGGGTCAGGCTATGTAGTTCAGGGTGGCCTTGAACTCACTGTGCACTCTAAACTGGCCTCAAATTCAAAGTGATCCTCCTGCCTCGGCCTCGTTGAGTGCTGGGATTACAGGCATCAACTACCATGCCCCATACATAATTGATTTAGTCAGTGCTATTTAAAATAGAATTTGATTTTTAAGGTGGGTTGGAGGAAATGGCTCTGCACCATCCAGAAAGAGGAGCGCAAGTCGCGTGCAGAGCAGCACAGTGCAGGGCAGAATAGGGGCAAGCAGAAAGACAAGAGAAACGGTGGACGGGAACTGGCCCTGATAGTCAGGGAGAACGTGGGTCTCTCCTACCCATCAGTCCACTCTTGTGGGAAGGGAGGGAGTCCCAGCCCTTTCCCTGGGGCAAGGCAACAGAAAGGGTCCGCTTCCTGCCTGGATGAGGAGGCAGAGAGGAGCCTAGGCCTGTGCCGGGGGGCCCGTGAGGGATTCCTTCCAGTTGTAAGGAGTCCTGCCCCGAGAACAGTAACCAAACTCGCCCTTCGCGTCCCACGGCGCTGGGGGGAGGGCTGGGTGCTGAGCGTTAGGGGTCCAGGAGCCTGGACTTAAGTCTCCCAGCAGCTGGCTGAGGAGGCAGGTGTCATAACGTGCGGGTCGGTCCTGAGATGGGGTGAGATTGCCCCGCGGAGCCTGGCACCCGACCGGAAGGAAAGGGCAATTGATGGCGAGGCCGGCGACCGCCCAGCTTGTGTGTCACAGGCCGCGCCGGCGCGTGTGAGGGCCCTCGTGTCCCCGTCCACGGGCCCGCTGTGAGGGGCAGTGATCGCCCAAGACTCACGCGTGTCTGCGTCGCCCGCAGGAGAGAAGCCCTTCATCTGCGAGATCTGCGGCAAGAGCTTCACCAGCCGGCCCAACATGAAGCGGCACCGGCGCACGCACACCGGCGAGAAGCCCTACCCGTGCGATGTGTGCGGCCAGCGCTTCCGCTTCTCTAACATGCTCAAGGCGCACAAGGAGAAGTGCTTCCGCGTGACCAGCCCGGTGACCGTGCCCGCGCCCGCCCCGCCCGCCACGTCCCCAACGGCGCCGGGCCCCGGCCCTGGTCCCGGCCCCGGGCCCGCGGTGAGTGCGTCCGCTACCCCCGTGCCCGCCAGCCTGAGCCCGAGCCCGGTGAGCGCGCTCCCGCCGCGGCCCATCCCCCACCCCTTCTCGCACCTGCACCTCCACGCGCACCCGCACCACCCGCACCACCTGCCCATCCCCCCGGTGCCGCACCTGCCCCCGCCGCCCGCACTCTTCAAGAGCGAGACCCTGAACCACCGCGGCCAGGCCGAGGACGGCTTCCTGCGGCACCTGACCGACAAGAACGGCGCTACCCCGCACCACTAGCCCCCCTCCAGGTCGCAGCCCCTCTGCCGGAGCGGGGCGGGGCGGGGCGGGCGAACCGGCAGACCCGGACAGCCGGGGACCACCTCGGGCTCGCGAGGACTGTCCTGAAACCAGGGGAACCACCGAACTGAAGCCCAGTTTGCTTGCATTTTCTGATGACTTTTATAAATTTCAAATACTCCAACTTACGGGATTTTATAACTTCATATCAGCTGATGAGGTATGCTTGCTTTTATATCCTGGACTTCTCCTCAAAGAGGAGATAGGCCTGGTTTCCTTTGTACTAATCGGGAAGGCTGTGAGATTAATCCAGAGCATTAATTGTATCACTGTGTATTGTAATGAATTCTTTTCCGCTATCGGTGCTGGCTGCAGAGTGGAGCTGGCCCCGATTCGCAGTATATCAAGCATTATAGAGAAAGATGGAAATTTTCTTCGTGTAGCTCTCCTAACGCACTCTTTATTTTACTACAGAAATTATTTTAGAGTTTTTGTATAGACTTCTTTAGTAGTCTGTTTCTAAAATGAAATGTATTTCAATAAGCGGTGTAATTTTTCAGTGTAGCTGAACCTATGTTGTAAAATAGAAAAAAATTTTTATAATCATCAAAATGTGATTCTTAAAGATGCATATAACTTCTATAATTCAAAGCTATTCTTACACCTGTACAACTCAAAGGTGCTTTAGAGACTATATGTGTGAGCGGTCAGCAGGCTGGGTCACCGCAGGCGAGCAGGGCGTGCGTGCTTCACCGTTCACGCCTCTGCTCACACTCAGGTGGCGTCGGGCTCAGACGCGCCTGTGCGCCGTGCTCCTTCGGGCTCCCTTCGTGCAGTAAGTGGAGAGCTTTTCGGGCTGCTGGGCTTTTCCAGGGCGCTCGCCTACAGGTGCCCTGGGCTGGAAACATGGGGTTGGTCACTGTCAGGAGAAGGACGTCCGGTAGCGGGAACTGTTTCCTCTTAGTCACATCTGTTTCTCACTTCCCTTAGGAACTGTGCTCGTGTTTAACCATTCTGGGAAACAAATTGGAGTCTCTCGTTCTGAAGTTGCTTTATTTTTTAGAATTGTTATGAGAAGCTAACGTAGCAAACTGAAATCTCAAACATGATTTGCTGGCAGTGGCTGAGAAACTTGGATGAGAAGACAAACTGAGTATGAGTTTGGAAATGTCTGATGTTCACAACTCTGAGCGATTTTAACACAGTTGATAGTGTAGCAGGGACACCGTGTAAGTCTTCCTGCGCTGCAGGTGACCGTGCCGGCCGACAGCCTTGGGCAAGGGGAGAGCAGCGCCTGCCTCACTTTCGCTTCCCTGCGGAGCCTCCAGAGAGCATGCCGGGCAGGAGGCGGGGCTGACACAGGTGACTTCCGCTGAATAGTTCGTCCAGGCTCGGTACCACCACTAACTCGGTATTCATCTCAGAGATCAGAGTCCCAAGGACAGGTCCTTCTCCCTCCACTGCCCTCTCCATTTTAAACCTTGGAATTTCTTCATTACTCTTTCCTTGGGTCCGTAGATCATTGCCTGGCTTTTATTTATTTTATTTTTTAATATTAAATGTGCAGATAGGCGTCAAGCACTTTTCCAGCTGATTTAGCTCTGCAGCAGGGAAAAATGGAACTCTCCGCTGAGCTTAGATCCCTCTTTTATTTTTTTTCTTTCTTTCGGTACCGGGGATTGAACTCGGATCCTTGCTCTTGCGCAGCAGGTGTCGAAACCACTGAGCTAAATCCCAGGCCTAGATCCCTCTATTAGCTATTTTGGTTTAATGATTCCAAATTTTCTCCTTCAGATTTTGCCTTTGGCTTTTAAAATGCATAGGAAGATGCAGGAGACAGAAAAGTATCTCAAGACATACTTTTCTTCCTGTTTTGGCTGTAAGTTTTAAACAGTAGTATTTTTATATCTGTGTACATTCTTTGAGCCCCTGGGCACCTAAGCCAATAAGGAAGTTAATTCCTTGCTGTGACTGTTACCTTAGTGGCTGTCCCCCCCTACCACCACCATCTCCTTTGCATTCCAGGACAAGTTTGTAAAGCCACACTTTTATGTAGACATAGCATTATTTCATGGTCAAGCCTATAATATTAAAAATAATTGTCCTTAAAAAGATGTACGTTATAGCTTAGTTCATTGGTTATACCTTATTTGTTCTAAATAAATTTACAGTATTAGGCAACAATTTTGAGTTCTAGACAAGATCTTTGAATCAACCATTTCATGAGGTGTATTGTGATTATACCCTGGAAAATTCTGGTAGTTGTGTTTGATTTTTCATTCAAGTAACTATAACCATAGGAAAATAGCTGCCACACAGGAAAACTAGCAGTAAGCAGATAACCACCACCATCTTTCCCAGAAGCAAAAAAAAAAAAAAAAAAAAAATCAGTTTCTTACAGTATAATTCTTAGTGAAATGGATTATGGAACAGTCTGGAAACTTCCAGGGTTTTTCCCTGGCTAAGTATACCTTCCCTGACTGGGATCTGTGGTGTTTGGGAAGATGGTGCCTCGTCAGCATCACGGGACACAAATAGTGACTGCTCAAAGGAGAGTTGTGACACGCAGGACTGCAGGTGAAGCCTTGCTCGTGTGTGCACGTCAAGGCTTAATGTGAAGGCTCAGACTCAGGGTGGAGAGTGGGGTCCCCTACTAAGGGAAAGCTGCATTGTGCCGTGTTCTCTCCCACATCTGCTGCAACGCCTGTGAATTCCTCAGCTCCTGTTGTTACCTGCTCCCCTGCTCGTGAAAAGATGCAGGAGAGTTGGAGTTCTCAGCCCTTCTCCGTACTGTCTTTCATTGCAGCATTACATAGACACCAAGTTGGGGCGCTCTCTTGCAACTTCATTTTACATTGCCTTCAAGGGCTTGTAACATTGCAAGAGTTGCAGATTTGAGGAAAATTCCCCAAGGGCTTTTCTGAGTTGGCATTATATTTCTGGTGGTTGGTTTGTTTTTGTATTTTTTATCCTTTTTTCATAGATTTATCATTCAAATATGAATTTTTTTTAGCCTTAAAAAAGGCTGCTGCCCCTGTAATCTCAGCACTCAGGAGGCTGAAGCAGGAGGATCACCATGAGCTTGAGGCCAGCCTGGGCAACAACATAGTGAGTTCAAGACCAGCCTGAACTACACAGTGAGACACTGTCTCAAAAAAAGGCTGCTTGCTTTCTCAAATTGAGTCAAGTACACTCATACTGAAGTTTTAAATTTTGAACAACAAAAAAGATCAGATTAAAACATGTGGCTTTCTACACATATTTATGATTTTATTGTTTTCAGCAAATGGTGAGTCTGCATAAAAACCTTAACTGTAGTTCCAAGAAGCCTTTTCAGATCCCTTCTGTATACTTTTCTAGTCTGCCATGTGCATAAACAGCCCTAGATTAATGGCTGAGCATGGAGATTTCCATAGTTGTACCTTCTTTTCTCAAAACTGCAGTTGTTGGAAGTACCTTGTTCTTATGGTTAGAACTCTCCCTAGAATTTGTCCCTTGCACACTAACCAAAGGCAAAATATTCTGAAGAGATACCGGTAAAAATTTATGAGATTTTTTTTTTTTCAGTTTTTATTTTTGTTGCATGGATATGTGGTTTCCTTTTGATTTTACTGGCAGTTTTAAATTTTGAGACTATGAAGCAGAGATAGAAATACATTTCAGACGTACATATATATTTACCCCATCTTGCAGATTTCAGTTAGTACAACCCAGTATGGTATGTGGATTTTTATGTTTAAAAGAAAAGCAAACCTGAAAACTAAAGATAGAGAAATCCTTCTGTTTGAGCTACTGTACAGAGAAGATAACTCTACTGCGCTGCCGACCCACGTGATGAAAATGTCAGTGCTGTCCCAGACTACATGGAGAGTGTTTAATGAAAACAGTGATAAATTACTTTCAAGCATTTTATCAGCTCACTACTTTTTAAAAAGTCAATTCAGTTGGAATTTTTCCAACTGTAACGTTGAGCAAGTAAATATTGAGTTTTAATTTTCCTTTGCCTAAACCAAGATAGGAAATTTCCCAAAAGGTCATTTTCTTTCAGGAATGAAAGGTCACAGCCATTGGAGACAGTGGCATTATTATGCAATAACAGCGCCTGCTGACCTGCCTATGCCACCTGTAGCGTTCGTGAGAAGTGTGACCTTGCAGCCCTGGACACTACCTCGATGAAGCCAACCAGAGACCCTCTGCCCTTTCTACGGAAGCCATACAAGTTGCCATCCGATGTATCCACTTTCATAGTTCTCTACTTTTATACTCTCTAGACTTTTTATAGACTTTGTGATCAGATCTTTCTGTCTTAGAGGGTAGGCTTTGCAAGACTCTAAGGAAACTGATGCTCTTAGTTGTCCCAACTTCAAAGCTTTAGCTTCAGTGAATTCCTTTGAAGAACCAGATAATGTACCGGGTATCAGATTGTGTCCTGGAGTCAGAGCTACCTGGCAGAGTTGTATACTCAGAAAACAGACTTCTCCCTTTCCCTCAGTAGAAGCTGTGCCGTTGCAGGAAGTGACATACAAATTGGCTTTCTTTCTACTTTGTGACCCGTGTAGCACACACGACCAGTGTTCTGGAGTCGTTTCGGTTTCTTGATGATAGAGTGAGAGCCTTTGCCTCCGTCCTGACACACCTTCATCCCTCACTCTCTCCCTGAGTGCCTTCAACAAGCCAGAGCCCTGGCACACTCTTCCCTGGTCCAACTCCTACCTCTGACAATTTCACTGTCTGTGAGCATTGCCATTCACCCATCCTGCGGTGTGTTTCACCTTACAGGCTAGCGCAAACCTAGGCTGGGAATCTGGCACATAGCTCTGTCTCCTTCCTCCGTGTCATTTTGGGGTTGCATTCTTCACTTTTATTTATATCTTCACATGTTCCGTCTCTCGTGTTGGGACCTGTTACCCTTGTCCCACTCTTCACCTGCCCCCTTTCACTGGAAGCTGGTCATTCCTTCACCTTTAAAGGTCACTGGGTGTCTCTTTCGGACAGCTTGTCTCCCTTGAAGTCTTCCTGAACTTCCGCCTGCCCTTCCCGACGAAGGGGCCCTGAATGCTGCTGTCGCCCCGTGTCCTCTATCTTCCATAACCAGTTTGCAAGTTGTGCCCATAATTATATTTCAACCTGATGAATTTAAAAGTGCTCTCTGGGTTTAACAAAAGTCCTTTATTGATTTCTGATCTGCCTCCCTCTCCATCCCCCTGCCCCTCAAAAACCTTTTTTCTAGTTGTTCTCATCTAATGCATATTAAAAGTATGATTGCTGCATAATATATGAAGGATGTAATAAAAAGGAGGTTGAAGCATATTCTGCATGCGATGTGAGCATCTCATTGATAAAACTTGTCTTAGCAGTTGGTTAATGTTTCACAGCCAAAACCACAGTTTGTGTTACGTACAGGCCTCTTGCTTCCTAAGTTCTCCAAAAGTGAAAACAAAGGAACTCCTTAAAATGAGGAAATTGAATTCCATTTTTTGTAGGGAATGAAAACTGTTGAGTGTTTTGGCTGTAGTCAAAATCTTTGCTTCCTCACTCAAAATCTCCCTCCTCTTTCCTTAGTTACTAGCGCTCAGGTGTTCACTCTAATAACCACATGCCGCAGGGGTCTAAAGGTGCTGTTCATGAAGCCCGAGTCCTGTCTGTCGCAGACTGTGTTATGGGTGGGACAGTGCAGCGGTGTGAGGGTTGCTTCGTTTCATAACGCTAAGTCTAGGACATTGAAAGGCTGCTGGGAGTGGGGTCTCGTTTTCCGAATGCAAGAGGCAGATCTGCTTTGCAGAGAATGGTGGCAGGGGCTCCTCATTGCTGCCCTGAGTACTTTTTATGTTTGATTGCCTTGTTGTCCCCCAACAGTGACCTAGACACTTGCATCTTGCATACAACTGGCTGCCTGAAGTTTGCTTTCCAGGGTGTTGCTTCCATCTTGAGAGCCCCAGCCAGCAAACAGTGCAGGGCCCCCTGGCTTGTCCCGTCCGTGTCTTCAGGGGGCAGTGTCCCACAGCCTCCTAGCTCCAGCTCACTTTCAGGCTGCTCCGCTTCTCTGCTGAGATCAGGGATATTCCACATTCCCTGAAGGTGATTTCGTAGAACGCACAGGAAATGGGGCTGGGGAGAGAAAAACTGGCAGCTGGGCTTTGCTTGAGCCTCGCCTTGGCCAGTCAGTCAGGACTGGGAGCTGGCCCTGTACCGGGTGTGTCCTTTACAGGTGAGCAGGACAGAGGTCCCAGCTCACATTCTGCAAAGGACTTGAGTGTGCCTCACTGCATTTGCAAATTAGCAGAAAGTAGCTGAACATCCTAAGGCTCCTAATTCCTCCACCCAGTATCTTTCCATGCTTGCTTAGTCTCCTCATTGGGCTGAAAAGGCGACAGTGTAGCATAATTTTGTTGTTTACTTTTCAGGTTTTATTTCCAAGGCTATAGATGTGGCCACAGAAAACTAGATGAATTCTCAGTCTTGCATAAATTTGCATATGCAGTCCGCTCATTTCTTGACAAGGCTGATTCTAGTCCACCGCAGTACTGGCTGTATCCACAAGGGGGCAACAAAGGACTTCGCGGGCTTTACTTTCAGCTCGCTTTCAGGTCTCCGTTTGCCGTCCCTCACCTCCTTGCTTATTTGTGCATCTTGAAGATTGAGGGCATTTTCCCTGCTGAGTCCAGTGGTTGCTCAGCCCCGTGATCCAAGCAAAGGATGCAGCGTGGTGTGGGCCTTTGGGGGTCAGCTGGCTTCTGAGCAGCTCTTCGCGGACGGATTGGGAAGGTGATCCTCTTTACTAACATGGCCCTCTGGCTCACCACCAGTCTTGCAGTCCTTACGCCGTCTCCTTCCCGATGAGCAGGCGGTCACCAGCAAAGGGGACACCCCGGCTGGGCCCCTCACCCTACAGAGCCGGAGGCGTGGCCACCCCAACCCGTTTCCTGCCAGCGGCAGCCACCCGAGTGCCATCTGCAGAACGAGGGAGGCCAGGAGCGGGCAGGTGGCAGGTGGCCAGGTGCAGCTTATTTGTTGCGATTTGCATTTTCCCCAAAAGTATGGGAATCACTTGCACTTTTCCTCATTTCTTAAAGAAAAGAAAATCCAGTTTGCTTGCCAGGAACTGCTTAGCGTTAGGTTTACAAAGCTTGTTGTTGAATGTCGACTATTTGTCCAAAGGAGTTTGACGAAATAGAAGCTGCTCGGTCCATGTCCTGCCTGCTGGGTCATAAGGTCTAGGCCATGTGGCTGGGGTCCAGAACGGGCCGTGTCCCCCTCCTACCTCTGCTGAGACGCAGCTAGTCACGTCGGGCTTGGTGTGCACAGGCCCACGGCACGCTGCCTGCGCGGTTAGGGGAGTCCGGTCGGGGTGGTGGTCGCTGGGCCGGGCTCTCGAGATGGGCAGACGCGGAGAGGGACTGCCGGCCCGGTGAGCAGGACACGCGCCGAGGGTCCCTGCCGGCCGCCGCCCGGCTTCCTGCCACCTGCCCCAGCGCCCTGTCCCCCTCAGCGTACTGATTTCCTCTTGTGTTAACTACACCGATACTTTTTTTTTTTAGCAATTGAAATGCACTTTTTTTAATTTCAACTCAATCATGATTTTTAAGTATAAAAAGTTTATAGATTGTTAAAACTACTTTTTGTGTATTTTTAACCACTTGATGTAGCATTGTATATTTTATTCTTGGAGACTCTGGTACAAGGTGTGCCGCTTAATGACCTTTCTAAGATGCTGGGCCTTTGGATGTGTACGGTAACCAACCCAATGCTAATGTTCAAAGTAAAAAGAAAAAAAGCAGCCATATCCCTGGTGTGTCTTTCTTCGTTTCTAACTTTCTAACTTAGCCTCAGCGACGTTTTGAGGGCCCCTGCTTAACGAATCATCCTTTCCGGGTCACATGAAGCCCCCTGCAGGCCCCTCCAGTTACAGGGTCGTCTGTGACGATGGCCCCAGCCCCGCCAATCCCTTCATGGACAGCACTTTGTCGCCGCTACCGACCAGGGCCAGAAACGATGGTCAGCACTGACGCCGCCGCCACTGCGCAGTGGTGAGTGTATCTGACTGGAGTATTTGGAGAAAGGAGTTGGAAAAACTAAGCACACACAATCCCTGACTTGAAATAATGTTACAAAGCTACTGTGATTAAAAAACAAAACAAAGGGCTGGGGATTCAGCTCAGTGGTTCCGCCACCTGCCTCGGAAGCACAAGGACCTGAGTTCAATCCCTGGTACAAAAAAAAAAAACAGAAAAGATAGCTGAGAGCTAATAAAATGCAATTAAAAAAAAGCAAACATCATGGTACTGGCAAAACAAACCAGTGCCGAGGATCAATGGAACAGATTAAAAGATGCAGATTCAACTCCAGACACACTCAACCACCTCATCTTTTTTGTTTGTTTTTGTTTTTTTGTTTTTTTGATAACAGGGTGATCAAACTCCGGACCCTGCACTTGCGAGGTAGGTGCGGAACCACTGAGGTAAATCCCCAGCCCAACCACCTCATCTTTAACAAAGGAGCCAAACCCCCTCACTAGAAGACAGACAGCCTCTTTAATAAATGGTGCTGGAAAACTGGCTTCCCACGTGCCGAAGATGAAAACTAGACCCATGTCTTTCACTATGCACTAACCTAAAATTGAAATGAATCAAAGATCTAAATATCAAACCAGAAACAGTAAATCTGCTGGAAGAGAGAACAGGTAGAACTCTCAAAGACATTGGTGTAGGCAAAGACTTTATGAACAAAAACCCTGATTGCACAGGAAATATTACAAAGAATCAACTACTGGCATCTCATCTTATTGAAAAGCTTTTTGCACAGCAAGAGAAACCATCAACAGAGTGAAGAGACAACCCACAGTACAGGAAAAAACTTTTTGCCAGCTATATCTCAGACAAAGGTCTACTATCTAGAATATATAAAGAACTAAAAAAAATCAGACCTCCCAAATTTAAAGACCCAAACCAAAAATGGGCATCTGATATGAACAGAAATTTCTCAAATGAAGAAGTAGTAACAGCAAATAAGTGAAAAACTGTTCAGCATCACTGGTCATTTGAAAGATGCAAATTAAAACAACACTGAGATTCCACCTCACTCCAGAAAGAATGGCTGCTATCATGAAATCAACCAATAACAAATGCTGGTGGGGCTGAGGGAAAAAGGAACTGCTGGTGGGAATATAAACTGGTGCAACCACTGTGGAAATCAGTGTGGAGATTCCTCAAAAAAGTAAAACTAGAGGTTCTATCTGACCCAGCTATTCCCCTTCTTGGTATCTTCCTGACAGGACTAAAAGCATCATATCACAGTGATATATGCACACCCATGTTTATAGCGGCACAGTTTGTAATAGCTAAATCTTGGAAACAGCCAAAATGCCTACCAACTGACAATTGGATAAGGAAGATGTGTTTGTTTTAATACAGTGGAGTACTACTCTGCGATTAAGAAGGATGAGCATGCTGGGGATTTAGCTCAGTGGTGCTGCAGCCTGCTTCACAAGTGCAAGGTCCTGAGTTTGATTCCTGGTACAAAAACAAAAACAAATGCAAGGTCCCAAGTTCGATCACTAGTACAAAAACAAACACAAGAAAAGGAGGATGAGCTTCAGACATTTCTAGCTAAATGCATGGACCTTGAGACCATACTCTCAAGTGAAATAAATCAGACACACGTGTTTAAATACCACGTTGTTTCTCTGGTGTGAGAAACTGAATGTGGAAATAAGGAATGAGGCGTAATGGATGTTGGGAAATGGGAAGAAAGTGTTCAAATGGGAAAGGGAATGGGAAGGGAGGAAGAAGAAAGGACAAGAAAAATCAAAGAAGGAAAAAATGGAAACAAGGCTTTTGTACACGGGGAGGAGAGGGGATGTGGGAAAATAGGGGCGAGAGGTATCGTGTACAGGTGCAAATTCCCTGGGTGTTATCATTATGGAAGCGTAAAATGTACCAATGTTTTGCTTCAAAAAAAGGAAAAACTAAGCACAGATCCAAACAGCTTTCAAAGTCTAGCGGGCCTGGGCCTGGGAGGAGGCTGCGCCCGGCCGGCGTTCTGGGGCAGGCCCGGCTCTGAGCGCGATCGGAGGCCTCCGCGCCGGAACAGATTTCCCGAGAGGAAGGCGGCCCAGAGCCAAGCCGCGTCCGGGCGAGCCTGGGACAGGAGGCGGCTCAGGCTGCATCCCGGCCACCCCCTGCTCCTTCTGAGGACGTGAAGAGGGGCCCAGCGCTTGGGAAGGAAATCTTATTGTTCCGGTTTCCCTTCGTTGGAAGCCTCTTCCAATGGAACAAACCTAGCCAACTCGTAAAATTTCCATTTGGATTCTCTGGCTAGGGACTCTTTGGGGGGGCACTGCGGTCACGGGGGGGGGTGGCTGTACCGCCAAGCCACATGCCCAGCCCTTTTTACCTATTTATTTTACTTTCTTTTATTGTGGACTAGGGATCAAACCCAGGGGGACTCTACTACTAAGCCACATCCTCAGCCCTTTTTAATTTTTAATTTTTGGGGGGGGCGGGTACCAGGGATCGAACTCGGGTCCTTGCGTTTGGGCAGCAGGCAGCGAAACCACTGAGCTAAATCCCCGGCCCTCATGACTGCTTCTGACAAATGACACAGCAGGAGTGACAGGATGTCGCCAGCAAGACAAAGTTACTCGACCCCCATCGCTGGTGGCCATGACACGCTGTGGAGCCAGGTGAGCGCAGGCTATGGCAGGCACAGGTGTGAGTGTGCAGGTGGACTCTGCCACCACAGCAGGATGGGAGGTGACTCCAGGCCTGGGGGTTGGTGGCAATCTCGAGGGACCTACAAGCTACGGGGTTGGGAGCGTGCATGGTCCTCAGCTGCTAAGTTTTGGGGCTGCTTGTGGGGCAGCAACAGGCAACAAATAGGTACAAATATGGACTCTGGGAGGGATGCAGAGGAGGGCGCCAAAGACCCCAGAGACGGCCCACATTCAGGGGCTGCTTGACGAAGCGGCATAAAGGTCATGGCAGCACACCTCTGTGAGCCCAACCCTCAGAAGGCTGAGGCAGGAGGATCACCTAGAGTTCCAGGCCAGCCTTGGCTACACAGTGAGTTCAAGGCCAGCCTGAATTACATATCCAGATCCTGACTCAAACCAAAAAACAAAACAAAAAGATAAGAAATCTTTGGTAAGAAGGATGCCATAGTGCCAGAGAAGCCCCAGCTGAGGCTGCAGAACCAGACTTCTTAAAGCAATGAGGCTGCAGTATCCTTGCATAATGGAGGGCGGAAGGCCAGGCCGCTAGGCAGGGTGATCCACAGAGCTGTGGGGGGCAGGTAGATCTATCGCCCTGCGGATCCCATACAGACCCCGAGGCATTAAAGCAGACTTGTGCCAATGTAAGCAGTTGCCTGCACGGAAAATGCAGCACCAGATGTGGTCTCCTTGCAAAAGCAGATTAATCAATACAGCCTCGGGCACATGGCTTGTGGCCATTGATCCAAAGAAAGTTTCTTTTCCCTCTCTATCAAGGAGAATTGGGAAAAATGGGCATTTGCTTTTGGTGCAAACATGCATACAGTTACAGCCTTGTGCTGTGCACCCCTAACACATGCCCCTGCCTGAGTTTCCTCCCCACCTTCTGAATAAGTGAGTCCTAAAGCACCTGTGAGCTGGGCATGGTGGTGCATACCTATCAGCCCAGCACTCAGGAGGCTGAGGCAGGAGGATCACTGTGAGTTTGAGGTCAGCCTGGGCTACATAGCAAGACTGTCTCAAAAAAGAAGCCAAAGCAAGCCACGCAGAATGTGGCCTCAGCCCCTTATCACTCCCCCGCCCTTCTACTCACAGGGTGATGCCTCCTGGAGGATCGTCTGAAAGAAGGCAGGCAGCAGAGCCTGGTCCCCGAGGGCTGGCCCGAGACGCACACCAGGGTACATGCCTGCTGGCCATGGTCCTACACCGAGAGCAGAGACTGGGCAGCCACCTGGACACCCCAACATGTGGAAGAGGGGGCTGAGGGGGACACCCCGAGTCCCACATGGTGGCGAGGGGCTCGCTGCTGGCCATGGCCCGGACCACAGCGGGGGACGAGGGCTGTGAAGGTCATCAGAGGGCACCAGGCCCGGGAGGGGCACCACAGTGGGGCAGACAGTGCATGTGGGTCCCCTGATGCTGGCTGGGCTCTGTCCTCACACAAGGACCTCCTGGCGGGGGTGTGTGGCTCCATCCTGCTGACACCCACGCTGGAGTTCAGGCCCCGCCAGGAAATGGTGCGAAGGCAGCAACTTAATCTAACAATGGTCTTGAGTTATTTATTTGGGGAGGAACAGATCAAACCCACAGCTTCCGAGTTCAGCTCCATCCCAGGCCCTTTGTAATTTTTACTTTGAGACAGGGTCTTGACAAGTGCCTAAATTGCTCAGGTTGGGTTTGAATTTGTGATCCTCCTGCCTCAGCTCCCCTGGTGCTGGGATCACAGGCGTGCGCTGTTACACCCAGCTGGGACTCCCTGCCAGGTTCTTGGTAGGCATCCTGGAGTGACCCTCGGATGTGCCTGACATCCACCACATCGGCGGTGGCGGTCGGAGCTGAACCGAACCCTTCGAGGGGCTGGATCCTTAGGACCAACTCACCAGGGCCTGGAGGGAGGAACCGCCCAGAGCTCTGGCCTGCTGCTTGGCTTTGGGCCTTCAGGACCTGTGGCAACTCCAGATGGCGGCCCTCCTACGAACCAACTGAATTGCTTCATACACACGCCCTCTGCTTCTGTCTAGTGCAGCTGAAGCCTGCACTGCAGCTTGGCTACCAAGGTGGTGCTATGAATAAGA